AGATTGAGGCCATCCTGGGCTACATAGTGAGTGTAAGGCCAGCCTGAACTATATGGCTGAGACCCTGTTTTAAAAAATAAATTTTAAAAAAAATTTTAAAAAGGGAAAGTGAGAAAAGAGAAAGGGCAGTACTGTAGAAAGAATTAAGATGGGTTATGTACACATCCCAAATCCCGTGAATGGAATCATTCCATAACACCAACATGTACTAACAGATGTACACACAAAAACAATCAAAATAAAAGCAACTAGCAGCAAAGTAACTATACTAAAAGCCAATACACAGGGCTACGGGTTTAGCTCAGTACAGCCCCAGACTAGCATGGGTTTGATCTCTGGCACTGAAAAAAGAAAATATCTCTGATAGCTATGAAGTTAGAGTCATGTAGAATCATAGAACAGAGGCAAGTTATTCTGTTTTCTATAAAAACATCATCTCTTTCATATTAATGAGTAACACCAACTCATACTAGAAAAATTTGAAAACACATCTAGGTGAGAAAAATAAGGTAGTTATCAGCCCATGACCCACCAAAAACTACTGTTAATGCCTCACTCTCTGTGCACTTTAGAGTGTCCACATGAACATATACTAACACGTCAAGCAAACTGAGGCCTCTTTGTATGTACTGCTTGTACCCTGTTGAACTTCGTCTCTTTCTGTGTCAAGAAAAGTCATCCTCAATTAATTAATTAATTGATACATTGCCAAGTACAGTAGCGCAAGCCTGTAATCCCAGTGCTCAGGAGGCTGAAGCAGGAGAATCTCTGTGAGGTTGAAGCCAGCCTGGGTTATATAATACCAAATTCAAGGCCAGCCTGAACTCCATAATAAGATACTGTTTCAAAAAACCCAAAACAACAATGAAAAAATAATGTCCGCCTGATGCTGGACACTTAAGTTAGTCCTACATTTTTCCTATAGTAAGCTTTGTGATTATCCTTAACTGTATTTTGTCTCCATATTCATGATGTTTTCACAATATTCAGGGTAAATCCCCTCAAGTGGGCTCGCTGTTCAAAGACTCGCACACTGAAGTCTGCATTTATAACCAGTGACGAAGTAGCCTCCCACAGGGTGACCCGGAGCCGCCCTCCTTCCTGGCTTGGAGCTGTGGGGTTCTAAGGAGCCGAGGCCGGACAGGAGGAGATGAGGCCTCTGGCCACCTCCACCTTGCTCCTTGGCCGCTTCGGTCCGGGTCTGCTTTATGCTTTCATGACCCTGCTTGGCCACGAGGGAGGAAGCATGGAATGCAGAGGGGATGTCCTGGTGGGATCTCAGGTCCCTGGGGAGCATGGGGCTCTGGGAGGAGCGGGAGGGAGAGACAGACAGAATGGATGGATAGATGAGGACAGGGTCTCCGAAGTCCCAGCTGGAGAAACTGCAGACGCTAATACTGAAGGATTTCTTGCAGGGGTCTGGTCTGAAAACCCGCAGCGCTCTGTCTTCCCACTAACTGATTTGGAAGCACAAATGTGGCCTCTCCTGTGAAGCAGGCCCAGTTTGCACTCACAGGCAAGCTCTACCCTACCACCCCTTAGAAGCCTGGTGAATAAAGCGATTCTGCGAGAAGCGAACAAAAGTCTGCTGGCACGGATTAGAAAAGTGTTGTTATTGAGACGGAGGCTAATTAAATTAAATCACTTGTTTCTCAAATAGAGCATGCATTATTGAGAGAACATCTGCTGCCCGCAGACACTGTTCCGCTCTGCTCACCAGCCCGAGGGCCCCCAACGTGGAATTCTTGAACAGCCTGTGTTCTACTGACACCTAGTGGCCCATGTGAAAATAATAAGCGCAAGATACCAAGGTCCTACGTGCCTATTGGCATTGCCTACAAGGGTAATTCGATGCTTACTTCACAGCTAAGAGGACTAGTCCCTACCTTAACTCCCTAATTTATAACGCCCTACACTTCATTCTTTCGGTTTCCTAACGGTAACTGTGCTCCCTAGGGTCTTTTCCCTTCTGACTTTCCTTAGACATCTGTCATTCGTTCTTCATTTTTCTGTTTGAATAAGACAGGGTTACATACATTCCCCTGACAAAATTCAATCTTAACCTGGTGTGGTGACGCACACCTGCAATCCTAGCACTTGGGAGGCTGAGGCAGAAAGATTGCTTCAAGTTTGAGGCAATCAGGATAGTGAGTTCAAGGCCAGCATGAACTACATAATAAGACCCTATCCAGAAATGGGGGGGGGGCGGAGAAAAGGGAGGAAAAGAGGCTTGTTCTCCCCCTTTATGCTCTTGCTTCTTTTGCTGTCTCCTGCTGCCTTGAACTGTTGCACCTCTGCCATGCCACCCCGCCTTGCAGCCCGCTGATTACAGACTGAAACCTCCACAAACTGTGAGCTAAATAAACCTTTCCTTCCTTAATTTGGGGTGTTGGGTATTTTTGTCTCAGCAGTGAGAGAAACGTATCTAAGACATCATCCTTCAAGGTGCTTTCACATTTTGCCTTCTCCCCTCTCTAAACATGCAGAAATACCAAGTGGTGGCAGCCCACGCCTGTAATTCCAGCAATTGGGAGGCTGAGGCAGGAGAATCACCACAAGTTAAAGGCCAGCCTGGGCTATGTAATGAGTTCAGGGGCGGCTGAACTACAGAGTGAGACTGCCTCAAATGAAAAGGAAAAAGAAGTAATTTCTACAAAAGCATTCTTCTGGCAAGAAAATAGGGGACAAGTATTTTAAAGCACAGGAAGTTGAGAGCGAACTTTCCCCTGGACAAAGATAATTTTCTATAAATCTACAGAATGAGAACCACAAACTCAAAATGAAATACCGGCATATGAAGACACATTTGAGGAATTCTGTCAACAGCTTTGATGAAGATGGATCAACTCCCTTAAAAATGAATAATCAATCACGAAAAAATTAAGGTTCCCCACTACCTGGACCTTAACTGACCAGCTTTACAAACAGTGCTGAGTTAACTTGGAGATTTCATCAGAGATGTCTGTTATGATTCTGCGGGAATCAGTCTTGTTTTGTTTTATTGCAATAGGGTCATGCTACTATTCTAGGCTGTCCTTGGACTCACTATGTAGCCCATGTTGGCCCCATGGTGATCCTCAGCCTCCAAAGTGCTGGGATTACAGGTGCGCACCACCAGGCCCAGCTTGGAATAATTTTCATGGAAAATTAAGGGGTAGAAAATTCTGTTTCACTCTAGAAATCTCTGGTCTTCAAGGAACAGTGGCATAGACTTTTTAACTTAGAACTTCTCAAGTTAAAGGAAAACCTGGGGGCCGAGGATGTAGCTCAGCGGCACAAGCGCCTGCCTGGCAAGCACAAGGTCCTAAGTTCAATTCCTGGTACCAAAAAAAAAAAAGAAAAAAAGGAAAACCTGAATGCTCAAAATTTGTTCTTATTTTGAATGAACAAAAAGTGGTAAGTGGGTTAAAAATGACTTTCGGTGCATTTTCTTGTGAACACATAACCCAACAGACGTAGGGTTGTGTCTGAGGCTGTCCTTGGTCCTGGCTCAAGAACCCAAAACACCACGTCTCTGTGCCCAGGCTGCCAGACGTGCAGGCAGAGGAAGCTGTCACAGTGCCCCGCGGGACCGCGTGCTGGAGACCAGGACTCCGACACCTGCTGGCGAAACCACTCAGTCCCTACCGCAGCAGGCGCCGCCCAAAATGACAGGCCTGTGGCTGCTAACCAGGGCTTTTCTTCCTGGGACGCCAGGCTCAAGGGCATCGTCCAGGAAGCTGGTAACTCGTCCCCAAGGGCACATCCTGGGAGGACAATGGCTCCCTGAGGTCGCCCAGGAGACCAGGGTGTGACATGAGCGAGACAGCACACAGCAGACACAGCCTCTGCTGCACCATGAGCTGCCTGGCTGGAGGCGAACCTGGACCTGCTGTGATCGGCGTCCTCCAGGGCGTATGCTGTCCACTGCCACCCTCCAGCCCCACTCTGCGATCGCCTCTGGCCCCCAGGCTGACTTCCCACTGTCACTTGCATTTTTGGCAGAGCGAACCTCTGCTGTCTTGCTCAAATACATGGCGAGCCCGGGGTTCAGCGGCCACGGCAAACGCAGCCCATCGCCACTGCGTCTGCTCGCCGGCCCACAGCACCCTTCCCCAGGCCAGGTGACCAGAAACCCAGAGCAGGGCTCACGGTCACCAACCACAGGGCCAAGAAAAACCCAGACACGGGGGTCTCTGGGAAGAAGTTTAACTATGGCGACATCATCTGTATGACTGAAACCACCTAACGAAGCCCAGAAGACAAAGTGAAAAGCCTAAGAGCCCGATGTGGGGGCACATCTGTAATCCCAGCACCGTGTGAGGCTGAGGCAGGAGGATCCCAAAGTCAAACCCATCCTGGGCAATTGAGAGACTTAGCAAGGCTCTGTCTCAAAATGTAAAAAACAAGAAGGGCTAGGGATGTGGCTCAGTGTAAAGGCCTTGGGTTCAGTCCTCACTGGAAGGAAGGAAAGAAAGGGAGGGAGGCAGGCAGGCAGGCAAGCAGGGACCAGCTGGCACATGCCTGTAATCCTTGGTGGTTTTATTTCCCCCAGTTATTTGGAAGGCTGAGGCAGGAAGACTGCAAATTTGAGGCCAGCCTATACAACCTGGCAAGACCCTGTTTCAACGTGAAAGAAGAAAAAGGATTGGGAATGTGGCTCAGAGGTGGTATCCCTGACTTGATGCCCAGTAGCAAAAATAAATGACTAAATCATTCAGGATAAAGGTTTACAAAAATAATTTAAACCTGATGTAGTCACACATGTATAGTGATCAAATGAAGCCACACTAGCATGGCACTGTGACTCAAATGTCTCCATCAGCTTTCCTACTGTACAGGGCAGGATTAACCAGGAGAGCACTCTTCTAAATCACCGATCTCAAGCTCACAAGGGGAGAAAGAGCCCAACCCCAGACCACCCGTGCTGCTGGGCTCGACACCGTACGACATTCAACAGCCCAGGTCAGAGGGTGAAGCCACAGCCCGAGACCCCAGGACCCAGCTCAGGGCCTGCATACCTGGAGCCGCCGTGCATCTCCACCCAGCCCCGCCTCCAGGACAGATGCAGCAGAAGGCCGCCCACAAGCACCTGCCACCTGTAAAGGACAAAGGTGAGTGAGCAGCGGCAGCACCCCCGCCTCACGCCTGCCCCCCACATGCGTCCACACAGAAGACACATTTAGCTCTTCTTGGGCCTTTTTAAACAATTATTTCATCTTCTGTGCTGCTGTTGCAACAGCAGCTCTCTGTACAGCCCAGGCTGGTCTTGAACTCCTGTCAATCCTCCTGCCTCAGCCTCCCAAGTGTTGGGGTGACGCGTGAGACACCACACCTGGCGGGACATCCACTTCTTACAACTCCCTTCTCCTCTCCCACTTTTGCTCCTGTCCCTCGGACCTTTCCCTCTGTGTCTGCGCTGCATCCCTGAGACCAGCTGTTGGAAAATCGCTGGCTTCCATATTCTTTCTTCTCTTCTTTTCCTGAATGGCCTCACCCGTAGCCGCTGCCCCTGTCTGGCTAACTCCCAAATCCCTGTTCTTTCCAGCCAGGTGTGGTGGCGAACACCTGTAATCACAGTGCTCAGGAGGCTGAGGCAGGAGGATTGCCACCAAGTCTGAAGCCAGCCTGGGGTACACAGCAAGGGCCTGCCTTAAACAAACAAAAAACACAAATAAATCCCTGTTTGCACCAGATCCCACCACCTGGAAGTCCTACGAGAGCTCCCAATACCATACTGATAAGGCTCCCTTGAGCTGCTCCCCAACCTGATCTCCTGCTACTGCCCCTAGTCAGCCAAATCAGGTGCTGCCCCACCCCACCTCCGCCCTCTCCACCCTCCTCTACCTGGCTGGATCCTGGCAATTTTATTTCCCTGCAAGAGCTCTCACGTCTGGAGCTCCTCAACCCTGGCCCACTTCAGTTAGGGCTCTCACCTACCCCACCGGCCCACAGCCTTCACCCCTACCATGAGGACCCCAGGGCTGTGTCCGCCATGCAGCATCCGCCCTCCACCTGGCAGCCCGAGGATCCCTTCTAACTGCAGAGTGAACTGTGGATCTTCCCAGGGCTGCCACAAAGGGCAGGGGCAGGAAGTACTACCCTGCCCTCCCAGCGGTTCAGGGTAGCCCAGGCTATACATTCCCCCAAGTCTGTAAAAACGGCAAAGGAAGCCAGATGTGGGGATGCACGCCCAGCATACCATATACTCAGGAGGCTGAGGCAGGTGGATTACATATCTGATACCAACCTGGGAAATTAAGTGAGATGCTGTCTCAACAGTAAAAAATAAAAAGGGATAGGGTTGGAGCTCAGAGCTCCCTGAATTCAATCCCCAGTACCTTAGAAAAGAAAAGCCAAAACACTATTTAGGAAAGAAAGGTAGAAAAATGAAGATGACTTGCTCTCTCACACATTTAAATGGTATAATAATTAAAATAATCCCCTTAACATAAAAGTTGACAAATAAGGACCCAAAAAGAAACCCTAGAAAAAATAACTATGATATTAGGAACCAAAAGACAAAAGGACGGGGGCTGGGGATTTAGCTCAGTGGCTAAGTGCCTGCCTGGCAAGTCCAAGGTCGTGAGTTCGATTCCCGGTACCGGAAGAAAAACAAAAACCAACAAAGACAAAAGGACGGACATGTAATAAATGGAACTCACATAAATTAGTTAACTCAGGGAGGGCTGATTCCCTCAGCCCACACTGTAATCTAGAATAAACTGACAGTGATTAAAACTGAACACACCTTTAATGAAACACTGATGAATAGGAACAAATTGCCCAGAGCAGTTTGGGAAACAATGACCAAAGAAACAGTACGTTCACCAATGCATTATCAAGATAATTACAAATAAACTAAAAGGCAAAAAGCAAACTACAAAAAAAGCATTTCCCACAGCCAGGCATGGCTATGCACACTTATGGTTGACACACTGTGTCAACTGGAGGAGTGTAGAAGCTTAACTAAGTAACTGGGCAGTCCTACACCCTGGGGTGAAAAGGACACGCCCTTACAGCTCTAGGATGTTGTGCACTGTGTCAACTTGAGAAGTTTAGAAGGTTAACTAAGTGACTCAGCAGAGGGCCAGGGTCCGTCCTTTGTATTTATCCTGAGGCTGTGCAAGAGGAGGGCATGGAGATTGTGTGAGCGCTACACCGCCCTGGGTAGGGGTAGCCTGCTTACCATATACAAAAGGAAAAGAGGCTTGTTCTCCCGCCCCTTGTGCTCATGCTGCTTTTGCTTTCTCTCGCCTTGGACTGTTGTCCCTGTGCCATGCCACCCTGTCTTGGAGCCAAGTAAGTATGAACTGAAGCTTCCACTAACCGTGAGCTAAGTAAACCTCTCCTTCCTCAATTTGGGTGTCAGGTATTTTGTCCTAGCAACAAGAGAAAAGTAACCAAGACACAGACCTATAATCCCAGCACTCAGGAGGTTGAGGCAGGAGGACTGCCTTGAGTTTGAGGCCAGCCTGCACTCCATAGTGAACTCAAGGCCAGGGTAAACTACATAGTGAGACTGTGTCTCAAGACAAAATTCCCAATAAATATGATGGACAAGTGATAATATCATTAAAATAAGAGAACATGGAGCCAGGGATATAGCTTAGTGGCACGCACTTGCCTGGTAAGCTCAAGGTCCTGAGTTCGATTCCCAGTGCCAAAAAAAAAAAAAAATACAGAATATATTATATCAATAAGAAAAATACAAAAATCTCAGTGCAAATAAATGGGTAAAAGGCATTAAAAGACAATCCACTGAGAAAAGAGTAACTAAAAGCATAAGAATATTTTGTGAATAATCAGAGAAATTATAAAATAAAAATCATATGCCATTGTTTGCTTTTGAAATCAGCAGGGAGAAAAAAAAATAATAGCCATGGTCTGAATTCAGTGGTTTGAATACAGTGTTAGAAACTTTCACATCCAGCCAGCTGGCAGGATAAATTAGTAAAACAGTTTTGGAAAAATAATGTATTCACATTCGAGAATACGAAAGTCCATGTCATCTCACCAAAATATCTTCAGTAGAACTCCGTCTTCTGGAAATAGTTGGAAAACTGGCAGACTTGAGTACAAAAATATCTGATAGTATTATCGTTTTTATGCTTCCCAAATGGGACACAATTTAAATTCCTTCTAACAGGGTGGCTAAATCAATTATCGTATGTCTGTTCGATAACAAACCCATGCAGTCATTAAAGTTATTTCAAAGAACACTTAGTGACATTGACTGACTATTTCCCACAAATGTATATAAAAAGCAGAAAAGTTACTCACCCTTGGAACAACGTAGGGTAGGTGAATTTCAGGACAGACAGGACATACTGAAAAACAATACCAGGTTAGGAGACATTGCAAATGACAGAGAATTAGTCAATACAGCACAGAATCAAAGAAATTCCTCCTGAACAATATAAATACATCCAAGTTTCAAAAAATCCTTTATTCCTCCAAAATCATCTATGGGGCAAACAAATGGCCTCTCAAGACATACTAAAGAGAATACATTTTTCTTTTAAATGAACCTAGTCCTGCCAAGGTTAGTTTATATTTCTATTACGTCTTTTAACCAAAAGTACATGTCTATTATGTCTTTTAATTAAAAGTACAACACTTTATGAGTGGGATTGTGTTTGTCCTTCTGCATAACTTTTTCTTTTTCTTTTGTCTTTTTTTGTTTTTTTGAGACAGGGTCTCATTGGAAGTTCAGGCTGGGCTTGAACTCACTATGTAGCCCAGGCTGGCCTTAACCTTGTGAGCCTCCTGCCTCAGCCTCCTGAGTGCTGGCTTAAAAATTCTATAAATAAAACCATTATATGGTTTTGAGAAACAACTCTATTATAAGTTCTTTATATGACCTTTTAAAAAAGGGAGTGAAAGGTCATGGGCAAAGTATTTATATTACATATTTAATATCCATGAAATTCTTCCCTGAAGTTTACTCACTCGGGTATTTCAGTATGCTCCTCCTACTCCTCCCTGCTAGTTTTATTGCAGAGTGGAGTAAGAGAAAGGATTAAGAGGACCCCGGTCATTTCCTGTATGCCCTTAGCAGGACAGTTCACTTAAAGCTTGGCTTCAGCCTGGTCCCCGGGCCAAAGACTACCGCTCAGTCCAGGGTCCACCTCAGGGAAGAGCACCCGTCCAGCTTGGTTACAGGCCTGAGTTCAATCCCCAGCACCACAAAAAAAAATAAAATGCTGAAACTCTGTTCTCATCTCACTGAAGAACAGTGAGAAAAGAAATCTATGACAAATGGAGTCTTAGTTCTAAACATGTCTCCTGGGTGGGATGTGGTGGTGCATGCCAGTAATCCCAGCACTCAGGAGGCTGAGGCAGGAGGGCTGCCATGAGTTTTGAGCCAGCCTGGGCTACACAGTAAGACCCTGTCTCAATAAATAAATAAACAGCAAAAAAGTCTCCTTCCTCGAATTCCTCCAGTCACTGAGAAAGAGCAATTGGGGAGCTCTGAAGGAACAGAAGTGGACTCTGCCTTCAAACCAGACGCTTCATAACTGTCAGGAAACACAGGTGTCTGCCTGGGCCCAGGTTACTGTTGGGATAGGTCACAGGCTCGCCAGGCCAGGCCACCAATGCCAGAACTCAGGGGCACCGTGGCTTCTCCTGCCTGACTGACCCAGTAGCCTCCTTCGGCTTCGCACCTGCTACTCCAAAACTTAAACAAAAGTCAACCCTTCTTTGAACAGTAGCAGGGGCTGCGCTGAGACACACAAGATAAAAGTATTTTTAAAGACTTTCCCTTGTAAAAATAAAGGAGCCAGACACGATGCACACATCTGTAATCTCAGTACTCAAGAGGCTGAGGCAAGAAAATCACAAGTGTGAGGCCAGCTTGAGCTACATGATGAGTTCAAGGCCTGCCTAAACTACATAGCAAGACCCTCATCTCAAAAATAAATAAATAAAAATAAAGAGGGGACAATTGTGGGAGAAAACTACACTGAGAAATACAGAAATAAAGAAGCTAGGACTCTAGCACCGAATTTTGGAAAAACTGGAAGAGAAGCACATCTCTACTACAGATACAAAAAAATCGTCACTACTTCAGAGGTAAATTAATCTGGCAGAAGTTGGGTGTGGTGGCGCACACCTGTGATCCCAGCCCTCGGAGAAGCTGAAGATTGCCAAGTCTGAGCTCAGTCTGGGCAACTGAGCAATTAGCAAGATGTTGCCTCAAGATTTATTTCATTTATTTTTTTTATTTTTTTGAGACAAGGTCTCACTATGCAGTTCAGGCTGGCCTTGAGCTCACTTTGTAGCCCAGGCTGGCCTCAAACTCGCAACAATCCTCCTGCCTCAGCCTCCTGAGTGCTGGGATTACAGCCACCATACCTGGCTACCTCAAAATTTTAAAAAGTAAACAATCCAAAAGACAGGATGCATTTTGAAGTGAAGGCCCTGAGCTCAATCTCCAGTACTGGAAAAAACTAATAATAATCTGGTAGAGAGGGTAGATGCAGGAGTGCATGCTCATGGGGTGTCCACTGCCCAGCTTGCATCCCATTTGGCCTTTACAAGCGTCCCTTTCCTCCCCAGAGGGTGCTGAAGTTACCAAGGGTATGGAGCCCTGTGTATACTGTCTTCTCTATGTTTATACCTATGATGAAGTTCAGGGATTAGGCACAGTAGGACATGAACAACTAACAATAAAATAGAATAAGTATAACAGCATTCTGCATTAAAAGCTAAAATTTACAAACTGGGATTTATTTCTGAATTTTTCCAACCGATGTCTTTGGACCCTGTTAACTGTGGGTGGGCAACAGAAACTACACTGATGGATGTGGGTGGGGGTCTGTACTTGGTCCAAGCCGACCTATGAATTCAGCACAGATTGAGAAGATGGAACAGTGGCCGCAAAAGCCAGGCGCAGTGGCATATGCCTGTGATCCCAGCACTCGGAGGCTGAGGCAGGAGGATCGCTGCGAGTTTGGGTCCAGCCTGGGCTACACAGTGAATTCAAGGCCAGCCTGGACTACTACACGGCAAGACCCTGTCTCAAAAACACAATACAATAAACAAATACACGTTTTGTTTTTAAAATCCCATGAAAAGCCCTTGCACATACTGGAATGTGATGGAGACTGTGATGGAGACATACAAGCCAGGAGGGACAGAGGGGCCGAGGAGCTCGACTAATTTACTTGAAGGGTTATCAACCTTTTGGGGAGTTGAGCGGGGCAAGCAGGACGAGGCTAATTTCATTTCGACTCTTCCCACAGGGAACAGGAGCTCCCTAAAAGTAGACCTCGCAGCCCCAAAGCCAGTTCCTGGGACGGGGACGTCAAACGCCACCTTCAGGGAGGCGCACGGGCGCGGGCGTGACAGGCCCTCCCCAGCCACCAGCCCCCGTCCGCTGCAGGGCCGCGGAGCGCGTCCCCGGACCCGCCGCCGCCCCACGGGCCCTCGCCGCCTCCCGCGCCCGCCCCTCACCTTGTTCGTGAGGTAGGAAGCCGGGTAGCAGGCGCAGACTGCAAGGGCGAGCAGGGCGCGCGGGGCGACCATTCGGCCCCGGGGCCCCTTCCCGGAGCCTGGCTACCAGCAGGCGCCGGCGGACGCCCCGCCCCACATGTACGTGGCTCCGAGCTCCGCCAATCAGCGTGGGTTGCCCCAGGCCCCGCCTCCTCAAAGGAGCCGCCGTGTGTAGGAGGGGCAGCCTCGTGGTGGGCGGGGCAGCTTCATGGTGGGCGGGGCAACCTCGTGGTGGGCGGGGCGTCGATCTCAAGCCTGGGTCCACCGGGACCACAACCTGATTTAGTGGAGAAAGGCAGGTAAGCGGTTCAGAAACGAACTCAAACACCCCATTACTGTTTAAAGAAAAGCGCTCATGGCTATTGCTGAACAATGGGACTAACGACTCTGTGCTTTACTGAGTTTTCCTGCTTTTTTACACTGCTTCCGTTTTATTTTTGCAAATGACGCCAAATAGGTAGCCATAAGAAATGTTATTTTAAAAGCAGGAAGGCCAAAGGAGGAGGCGCTAAAATGACCATAGTTATTTTTGTTTTTCTTGCAGGACTGAGGCTTGGACCCAGGGTCTTAACACTGAGATACACCCCAGCCCTTTTTTATTTTTTTATTTTGAGATAGGGTCTAGCTAAGTCACCCAGGTTGAGTTTGAGTTTGCAATCCTCCCGCCTCAGCCTTCCAGAGTGCTGGGATTTCAGGCTACCACGCCCTGCTTTCCTTTCGTCTTATGAGATATCATTCCTCTGTGCGGAAATTTCTAGGGAAAAAGTACTCTCTCCCAAAGTATTTTCAAGCACAGCACCTTTTACTGGGGGACAACATAACTTAACCAGGCCTCTGGGGAGTACTAGCAAAGACCTGAAAACATACATGTGACGTTGTTAGAGAAGGAGAAGTGCAAGCTTTCAGCAGAGGCCGAAACAGGCGGAGTTCTGGAAATGCCCCTCTGGCCAGGCCCTTCCCGTGAAGCCAGGCTCACATGGCCCTGCTCCCTGACCCTTGGCAGCCTTCTTACTCTGCTGTACCGTCCCCTGCTTCTCTGCTCCCTCCTGCCTGCAGGCAGGGCTGACCTTGGCTTGTCCCCTGGAGTCCCCCCACACCCCCCCCCGCATCTCCAGTGGGGCTCCAGGTGGGTGGAGGGAGGGGACGTGCAGATGAAGGTGGGCCTGGTCACCCGAGGGTGCTGGCCCTCCGTCTCATCGCCTGCTAACCACCTGGCTACGCAAACTCGAATGAGGGTAATTTCTCTTCCCCTAGTCAACCAGCAATACTCCTGTGCTGCCTTTGAGTCAGACCATCCTCAGGACAAATACCCACCCACAAATAACCTCCGTGTCTAGGAGAATGTGACGCCCTGACTCGTGTCTGTCTACAGTTAGGACTGGTGAAAGGGGTTGGAGCCTGTGGCTGTGACTGCAAATTGTAAGGTGTCAACTGGCCGGTAGGGAGAAGCCTAGCAGATCAGGATTGCTCAGTTCTGGGTGTGTCTGTGGGTGATTGACATGTAACACAGCCAACCGAGGTGAGGAGACCTGTCCCAGTCGTAGGTGGCATCAACCAATAGTCTTGCAGCCTGGATGCAATGAAAAGGGAAAGAAGGAAGTGTGACCCGTTTGAAGAACTCCAGTCTTCCTGAGCAAGTGCTTTCTCTGCTGCCATGGCTTTGGACATTGGTCTCCACGTCTCCGCTTGCTTTCACCTTCCCAGTACAGACTCGCCCTGGTGACTCCAGTGAGCATTCAGGCCTTTAACATTGGACTGGTGCTGCATCTTTGAACCCTCTTGTTCTCTGGCTTCTATCATATTGGACCCAGCTGCTGTGGTCTCCTCCAGCTCCACGTGCATACTCAGCCACTGTGCATTCTCCTGCCTCTGCTACCTCAGGTAGCTGCTAGGGACTCTCCCAGCTCTTTTCCTCTAAGTCTGATGGATCCCCTTGCATAATCATGCGTATATTTCCTATTGATTCTGTTCCTCTAGAGAACCGCAACTACTACAACAGCCAACAAATCAGGAACTTCGTATAATCAAGTAGAATCACTATGGAAGCCAGTACAGAAATTCCTTAAAAAGCTAAAACTACCAATTACATTCTGCCCAGCTATTCCCCTTCTAGGTATCTTCCTCCAAGAGTTAGTCATCAGAGTCCAGGGATCCATGCATACCTGTGTTTATAGCGGCACAATTCATCATAGCTAAATCTTGAAAGTGCCCTATATGTGCATCAACAGATGAATGAATAAAGAAAATGTAGTATTTATACACAATGGACTACTACTGGGCCATAAAGAAGGATAAACTTGAGTCATGTGTAGGAAAATGGATGCATCTTAAAACCATTCTGTTAAGTGAAGTAAAAGACACACACAAGCTTAAATACCGCATAGTTTCCCTTATATGAGAAATCCAAAATATAAGTAAATTAAAAAGCAAAATAAAAGATAGATACCAGGAAAACAGAGATAGAATTTTTGCATAAGGGAAGGGGACCAAGAGATGGAGGGACAGGGAGGGAAGAAGGAGGGGAAGTGGAAGGAAAATGGGATGAAAAAAGAATTGAGATGTGTTATACACATGCACCAGCTCTCCTTGAAGACTGTGATCATTATGTACTGCAAACATGGACTAATACAAATAAAAAAATTAAACGAATCAGTTACCTATAGTTTTACCTAAGTAAAACTGCTTGTCAAACTATATTACCCAGGCAAGCTCTAGATTTACAGTCTGTATTTCAAAATATAAACAAACTACAAGATATTTCCCTTAAAGTTATTTTAGGAAACTTATTTTGGACCTAAATAGTTCTTACAAAGAGAATTCTCTTCTAATAGAATTTGGCTAAACCAGTTGGTGGTATTTTACTGAGATTTCCCTGAGCTCCTTAACGGAATACACATATGTGATGCAAGCCTCATTATTTCCTAAGTACTGCTTAGCTGATTTTCTTCAACATAATTTGCTTGATGAGCAGGAACAAGGGGAAGAGTAGAGACTCATGCAAATAGAAATGGACATTACTAGCAAAGGTGCTGATAGATTTTGCTGGAGTTGTTGGGGTTTTTTGTTTTTCAGGACAGAGTCTTGCTGTGTAGCCCAGGCTGGCCTCCCACTCACAGCAATCCTCCTGCTTCAGCCTCCAGAGTGCTGGGATTATAGGCATGCACCATCACACCTGGCAGTTGTTGGTTTTTCTAAAACTGTACTACCTGTTCCACAAAACTAACTAAAGACTGAACAAAAACAAAATTAGCAGGTCTTACATTGTCAAAATGCTACAGAAAAACAGACCAAACATGGGGAGAAATGGCACCAAGAAGGTTTAGGAGGCAGTTTATTACATTACTGGACCTGACTTGGATGGCTCTCAAAGACTCAGTGATCTGCTTGGTGGGGTTTTGGGACTTTTATAGGGAGGGCAAGTGGGAGCTACAAAGGCAGATTTGGACCATCGTGATTGGAGGGTTGGGTGACATCATCGGTTGCTGAGGGAGTTTAAACATCTCAAGTTACATTGCAAAGCCATCAGTTAAACAAACATAAAGAGAGAAATGCTGCATTATATTTGAAGTTACATTACAAGGCCATCAGTTAAACAAGCATGGATTACACAAAGGAAGATATGTAACACTATCAGATTTTTCCAGACATGTCCATCTGGTTTTGGCAGGCATTCTTGGCAGGCTTTATCTAAAATTTTAATTTTTCTTTCAAAATAATAAGCTATTATATATGAAACTGAGATAAATCCAACTTCTATACACATGAAAAGAATTAATTACTTGCATTTTTGAGAATTTTGAGGCCAAAGTTAGTATTGTTAATTTATTTCTTGATACTCTGAGCGCTCAATAAATATTTGTTGAACTTTTTTTTTTTTACATAGGGTTTCGCTATGTAGTTTAGGCTGCCCTTGTATCCACTGTGTGGCCCAGGCTGGCCTCAAACTTGCAGTGATCCTCCTGCATCAGTCTCCTGAGTGTTGGCATTACAGGAGTATGCCACCACACCCTATTTGTTGAATTTTAAAGTGGGGGTGTTAGATAAAACAATGCCTTCTGATGTTTTCCCTCAAATATTTCTTAGTAATAAATTTTTATGGCAGCACACATGGGGAATTCTTCAAAGATAGAGACAGCATCATAAGCTGGGTGTGGTGGTGCACACCTTTATCCCCAGCCCTCAGGAGGCAGAGGCAGGAGAATTGAGCCAAATTCAAGGCCACCCTGGGCTACATAGGGAGTTCAAGAGTGGCCTGAACTATATAGCAAGATCCTGTCTCAAAGAGAAGGAAAGAAAGAAAGAAAGAAAGAAAGAAAGAAAGAAAGAAAGAAAGAAAGAGGAAGAAAGGAAAGAAGACAGGAATACTTTTTGTTTGTTTTATTTTTGACTTTTATTAGTACATATTTGCAGTATATAATGATTACATTCAATATAGGAAACTGGGAAATTGGGACATGTACGTAACAAAACTTCAGTTCTTTTATTCCATCTTCCTTCTACCCCTCTTTTATTTTTCAGGATCAGATTTGTTTATTTATCTTGTAAGACCTTATATAATTAATTGTCATACATACAGATTGAAAACCAGACTAATAGGCAGAGGAACATATAAAACATGTAAGACAATTGCGCTAAGTCAAGGTACACTTTTAGATACATTGTCCATGATGGACTACAATAATATTTTTTCCTCTCTTTTTTCTTATTATCTTGTACTGTCTCCCCCTCCATCTTTCTATCTACATATATATATATAATTTTTCATGTAAGGGAAACCACGCAACATTTAAGCTTATGTGTCTAATTTATTTCACTTAAAATTATGATCACAAGGTACATCCATTTTCCTACAAATGACTCAAGTTTATCCTTCTTTGTGGCAGAGTAGTACCCCACTATGCACAAATATCATTTTCTTTATCCACTAATCTGTTGATGGACATATAGGCTGTTTCCAAGAATTAGCTATCATGAATTGCACAGATAAAAACATGGTTATACATACATCACAGTGGTATGATGTCTTTAACTCTTTTGGGAGGATGCCAAAGAGCTGGGTCAATAGAATTTCTATCTTTAATTTTTTGAAGACTCTCCATACTTTAAAAAGCTGCCTAAATTCCCCTTAAAACCAGACAAGAATGACCACTTTTACCTAAACTAGCTTGATCACATCCTTCTAACCTTTATGGCCTGGTTTGGTGGCACAACTATCATGCAACCTTTTTAGACAGTGACAACCCACGCCAAATCCCAACATGAGTATTGTCTCTGGAGGGCATTTGGAAATAAATCATGCACTCTTTCAAGACAGAAGCATATTGTTGTTTCATGTGGTATGCATATGTTGCCTTTCCAACTATAGTTCTTTGTTTCTCCCACAAGACATCAGGTGTATCTTAGGCAGCTAATTAATATTTAAGCGCCTAAAGCAGCTACTTGCAAAATAGATGTACTTACTTTCAATATTAAGAACTAAAGAGCCTCATTTTTGTTCTCTTTAGAGATCAGAGAAGCTCCTGATCCCGTGTGTTCCCACAGTGCAAATTCTCGAATAGTTTTGTTTCTGCTGGGCTCTAGTGAATTTATCAGCAGAAATGGCACAAAGAAAAAACTGGAGCCAGACCCATTCTAAACATTGTGTTTAGTCCACTTCATTGCAAAATGGTCTGGCCCCCTTCACAGATTCACTATGAAATCACATGGGCCTAAGTGTTGCTATGGTGATCCTCCTGCCTGAGCCTCCCCAGTGCTGGAATTACAGACTTCCACAACCCACTACCAATACCAGCATCCCAACTCCAAACCGACCTAAAATAAGACCAGAGTTGGAATAGTCAAAGTCACCTAAAAGAAACTTGTAAAAGTTTCTGAGACTTGAAATTAGACTGAAGGTATTTGCACATTTATGGAATGTGCAGGCTACTTACTCTCTTTATCAGTCAGGTTTTTCAGTCTCCAGTCTCACCTGCTCCAATCCATCCTCCACATGACTGTCAGAAGTATCTTCTTAGTAAGCAAATCTGAAAACACTATTCTTCCCCGTTACTGACTGTACTCCTAGCTCTGAAGCCCTTTGCATTTAAACCTCTTGGCCCTGGCCTTCCCTGCATTCTCCGAATCAGTATTTTCCTTTGTCCCTGTTGTACCCTAGATCCAGACCACTCAGTCTTTTCTGCGGTGGTCTGATGCAGTGCCCTTTGTTACACCGACCACCCACCACTCTGACGCCTGTCATTAGCAAAGGCTGGAACAACTGGCCTCCTCCTCCACATCTACAACGGGCCCTGCACTCACTTCTGGCATCGAAACTGCTGACATTTTAACATGCTTTTGGTCAGGACTTCGAGGTACCTGAGGAAGGGAACCTGTTTTTATTCATAGTTATCACCCTACTGTTAGGGACCTAGATAAAAATTGGACGGAAATTGTTGAGCAGACAACCTAATGCGAATATTTAAACTCCTAGTTTTATTTTCAATGTCCTGTCCTTTTCTGACATGTTCTCCATATGGTCCCTTGCTAGCAGATTTCGGTCATACATGGCTTCTCAGCTTATCTTTTGGGTTTGCTCTTTTCCTTTTGATCTTTTCTTCAGACATTCTTGGTCAATTAAAAGGAGTCTCCAAGAATTTCTCTCTCCTGTTTCTTACCCAGAATTGAGAGGGTTATTTCATAGCTGGTTACACCCATCCCCCTTCGACTATTTATGCTACAATTATAACTTTGTGGACACTAACAGGGGACTACATTTCCACATGCATTCACATACATGGGCAGCATTTGCTGAGCATAGGTCTGCACTGCCTTATAAGCCACAGTGTCCAGTATTTTAGTTAGCAGCCTTTGTAAGACTCAGAACATGTTCTGACCTAGAATGAGATGGCGGCAAGAGCTGTGGCAATCAAGTCATCAAGGTTTCCTGCTGAGCCTCTCCAGCATGGACAGTTAGGGGCCTGACTCGGAAGTGAGATCCAGCCCAGGCTGTTATCCAGTGTGTGTTTCTGAAACGCCTGATGGTCATTCTATAGACACCACAGAGCCGTCTGTGCACCTAGACTGCCTGGGGCACCACTTGTTAGCTTTGTTATTTTCTGGTTGTCCGCCTTACTTTACTTCAGCTTCATTGTCAGCAAGATTGAGCTAAGGACAGAATTTGAATGAATAGGGAAGGATATGCTCAGTTATTTTAACCTAGTCAATTTATGAAAGTTTCACTACAGAATACAGAATCCATACTTTTTATCATGCAGTCGTATTTTTGCTCCATGTCTTTAACACAGTTTACAGACTCCGTATTTCACACCCTGCCCTCAAAATACAACTGTAATCAGGACAACTCCGACTGTCTCCTTCAGTCCCTATCGCCTGACCCGGCTCCTCTACATCTGTCTCCCAAACCGTCCCAGTTTAGAATTACGCCGGGAAATAATGAATGAACAGAGTCTGGTTTATTTGTAGTCCACACGGTCCGACCTATTTAATTAGACCCAACAGCGTCTTCTCGGGCTGCTAGGGAGGCAGGAAGAGGCAGGCGGTTCAGAGACAGCGTAGAACCTGGGCCAGGGGACGTCACACCGCGCCCCACTGCTGAGACCACGGGCACAGCCCGGCGTACCCCACCACCCACGACCCCAGCCTAGTGGGCAGTGACCGGAAGTGCGGCCCGCCCGGGGGCGGAGCAAGATAGTTTAAGGCGGAGCCAGGGTGAATTGACCAATCAAAAGCGAGTACCCGCGCGGTGAGGGCGGAAGAGAAGAGGTCTAGTTCCGGACGCGGCGACTACCGCCGCCATCTGTCACCTTAATTCCGGCTCCCAGTGCCGGTCGCTGCTACTCTTCCCGTCTCGGCGGGATCCGCTTCGCGTCTTGACACCTCGCTGCTCTGTTCTTGTCTCCGCCTTCTTCCCCCAATGGATCTGGTGGGAGTAGCATCCCCTGACCCTAGGCCGGCAGCGGCCTGGCGACCCAGCAAGGTGAGTGGTGGTCGGGACAGGCGTACCTGCCTTGGTCACCCGGACTTATTCTCCCGGACCACCGGGAGAGGGGTACGGGAAGTGCTAGGGGAGGGATCCCGACGAGCTCGACCCAGGGCATCGGGTAGGGTGGTGGGAAGAGGCAGCGGGGTCCGAGAGGCTGCGCTGGTGGACTGGGGTCTGACTTTACATCCTCACATTTTTTTCTGAATCCTGGTAGTATATATTGAGCAGAACTCTCTTTACAGAAGCTGGCACCGGAGGGAAACAAGCACGGTCTTGTTTTTCACGGGCTGAGTCAGCCCAACACGCAGAAAGCGAGACAGAAAGTTGATTTAGGAACCTGTTTCCTTAATTTGACAAGTGTCGTCATCCCAATTCGGTAATTTCTTGTTTTTGAAGTGGTAAAGATAAAACCTAGGCGCACCCACCCTCCTCAACGCACATACTGACCTGTACACTAGGTGCTTTCATAGCGAAGTCTTTTTTTGTTTGTTTGTTTTTCCGGTACCAGGAATCGAACTCACGACCTCGCTCTTGCCAGGCAGGCGCTGTGCCACTGAGCTAACTCCCCAGCCCCAATACTACGTGCCTTGAGACGTGTTCCAATTTTCATAATCTGCCTGCCTGGGCTTTAGCGTTCAAACTTTTTCCTAGAATGCCAAACACAACACCTGTACCTCACGTCTAGTTTTAAGTTTTCAGGTTCCTCCTGTTCATGTTATTCTCGTCAGAAGGACGTAAGGGCTTCTGCCTGTGCATTGAGGGCTCAGATGAGAGCAAGAGTTCTTCCGTGGGGATTTGTGTCCCTCAAACTAAGGTTGTGAAGGAGGCCAGCTTTGTTTTTCACCTTCATAATTGTCTTTTTCATGCTAACACAGAACACTTGTTTTATTTAAAAGTTCACCTGTTAATCTTGTGGGTCCTTCAGTCTTGGTCTTACCCAAAAAGGGATAACTTGCAATTAGGGAATATTGATTTTATAAAAGTTCCTACACAACTTTAGGAATAATCTAAGATATTCCATTCATAAGTATGTTTACATCTACATGTTATGTTTTGTATTTTTTCTGTTCAGACTTTTTTACGTGGTCGGTATCAATGGGCTAACTTAGTAACAGAGGCTATTAAATATATACTCTATATATTAAATTTTTCCAGTTAAATATCCATGAACTTTGGTTAAAAAAAATTGAAATGAGACAGATTGCTCTGAGTACATTCTAACCTCAAAACAAATTTCACTTATAAGACTCTTAGTAAATATTTTAGATCAGTCATATTCTTATTTTTTTCATATTCTCATTTAAATGAACATCAGAACTCTAAAATTCCACTTTTATCATTTAACAAAAAATATGCTCCAGGGGTTACTGAGTTGGGAAGATGGGGGTTTCACAGGTGAATAATTTGAAAGCAGCTGAAAGCATTACTTGTATTACTTCTCCTCTAAACTTTCTCCTATGGAAAACCCAAAGGAGTCCTAGAAGCCTACATGGAGGGAGGTGGAGACTTGAAGAACTTGAAAATTGGAAGGAATGTTTAAGGCCAGTGATTCTCAAAACTTTTTAGTTAGGATCTTTTATACTTCGAAAAATCATTAAACCAGGCATAGTGGTACACACCTGTGATCCCAACACTTGGGAGGCTGAGGCAGGAGGATCACCACAAGTTTGAGGTCAGCTTGGACTACATAGTGAGTTCAAGGCCAGTCTAAAACTATATAGCAAGACTGTTTCAAAAAAAAAATCATTGATGACTCCAAAGAATTTTTGCTTATATTGTTCATATCTATTGATATTTGTCACATCAAAAATTAAAACTGAGAAGTTAAAAAATCAGTAAAGCCATTTAAAAGTCATATTAAAGTAACATTTTTATATTTAAAAACTTTTCCAAAAAAAATTAGTAAATAGTATTGTTGTACATTTTTGCAGATCTCTTTTATGTCTCATTTACTGAAAGTGTCTGGATTCTCAGATCTCTTTTTTCATTCAGCTGTAGTGTGTTTTGACTGAAGTGTATGAGAAGGATCCATCCCTACAGATATGTAGTTATAGCAGATATAATGGGAGGTGGGAAATATAAACACAGTAGAAGCACTGAGAACAAACTGAGTTAGACTCTAAAAAGACCCCTTTGCTACATTAGAAAGTTTTAGAAAACACAGGATTTCCAGTTCCAAAATGCTGAAGTACTGGGTTGTTTTTTTTTTTTTTTTTTTTTTTTGAGACAGGGTCTTATTGTGTAGTTCAGGCTGACCTGGAATTTACTAGGTACCCCAGACTGACCTTGAACTCATGGTGGTTTGCCTGTCTCAGCCTCCCAAGTGCTGGGATTACAGGTATGTGCCACCATACCCAGCTGTAAAATGACTCAGATACTCTACCTGGATTATCTCCACCAGCTGTATGGCTAGAAAAGGGATCTTGTGGGTTGTGGTTTTGTTGACTTGCTTCAGCTGACTTTTTTCTTTTTGTTTTTTTTCTTTTTTTTTTTTTCGGTACCGGGAATCGAACTGACGAACTCGCGCTTGCCAGGCAGGCGCTGTGCCACTTAGGTAAATCCCCAGCCCCAGACTTTTTGTTATTATGTGTAAGCCTCAGGTTTGTTTTTGATTTTACCTGATTCCTTTGCCATGGTGGTCTTTAGTAAAACTTTTTTCTATAAAGTGGGACAAGTAGCTGAGGGTGCCATTAGGAGCTGGAAGGAAAGAGGTAGTTTCTCTGTAGCCCACAGCCAGCACGGGTGGGAGATTGTGGTCTTGCTGAGAACTCAGAGAAACAGAGTTTAGGGTCCTGCAGCCACAGGGAAGAAAGACTCCAGAAGCCGGCTGCGGGTTTCTTGGGTTTCTTAGTGAGGACTGTGTGGGCTTCTCTTCATCTCGGTGCTGTGGGGAGAAGACAGGAGGAGCTGACTGGACAGCTGGGTAGAGTGAGGTTATGAGCTTCCTCCATCACCTGGGGTTTGTTGCTGCTAGTTCCATAGGTACTAGTTCCATAGTTACTAAAGAGTTTGACTTGCTGCAGTCACAAGATGGTGACAGAGAATCTCCACACTGCACCCCTGGAGCCTTTCCCAGAAGCCTCAGGCAGATTTTCCCAGCCCCACTCCAGGGCCAAGCTGGTTGTGCCCCGAGCTGGTTGTACCCTGGGGAAGATCAGGAGGGGTCTGAGCCCCCTGAAGCTGGCGCTCACACAGCCTGGGAGGTCTGGGGAGGCTCTGGGTGGCTGGATTGAAGAGTTTGGTTGCATTTCCAAGTGTGGGGCTGGCGGACCTTTCTGGAACCTTCCCTTACTGATCTCCTCTGAGGAAGTAGCCTCAGCAGAGGGGCCCAGTTGAGCTGGGACACCATGGTCGGCATTGAGCGCTTCTCGTCAGAAACTCTACCCTGGGCTGTGAGTATGACGGACCACTCCCCTTCCACAGGCTGCTGCTCTGTTGTGGCGTGCGTGGCCCCTAGTCAGTGGAATGTTGGCCCAGAGAACACAGACAGGATCCAGCTTTGTCTGGTGGCGTGGACACGGCCTTACAGAGGAGGTGACGTTAGTTGGTGTAAATAGAAAGGGAAAAAGACCTCGACAGAGAGAAAAGGCTGTGTGAGGGCACGGAGGGATGAGACGTAGCACACTTGGTGTGTGATATGTGTCACTGGAGTGCAGGACAGGAAAGCCGGGGCAGGGCAGTGGTGAAGGGCATTGCTTGCTGGGGAGTTTGGTTTTGTTGCAGGCAGCAGGCCATGTGCGGTTCACCTCCTGCAGGGGGGAAGCAGCAGCGCGAGGCTGCAGGAAATTCAGCCTGTGGGATCCTCCTGCCTTGGTTCAAGGCTGGACACTTCCACTTGCAGTCTTACCTGGGGTTAGAAAAGCCTTTGTCTCAGCTTCTGAACCATTAAAGTGGAGGTGATATTGCATCTACTCAGTTGTGGTCTGATTTGAATGATTTCTGTAAGTTATACATATCTAGCCAGGTGACTTAAATATAGGAAATATTGAAATGCTATCTGTTATGCTACTATTAGTCATTGTCAAATGTGAGTGAGAACTCTTGAGTTGGAGGATACAGTCATCGGCCTTGTGGAACCTGGACTTTGAAACTGTTCAGAACAAGCAAATCTAGATTAAAGAGCAGGAGGAAGTCAGCGGAATCACATAGCCAAGAGACTGGCTGTCTCTCCAGATTCCAGAGCGCTTCAGTTTTCGGACTTCAGAGTTCAATGGCTGATTCGCTCCGAGTGCGTCGCAGTCATCAGGCCTGTAGCCGACCTCCCTGGTTCCTCGGGTCTGGCCTTGGTGGAGGCTGGAACAATTCTGCACTGGTAAATGTAGTGTGTGCCAGGGGCCACGCACATCTCAGTCTCAGGGAGAGGAGGGACAAAACCAATCCTGATTCCCTCGGGTGGAAATACGCGATGTCACCTCTAGGTCCTGAGCCACATTTGCTCCTGAACTGCAGTTCAATGGAACTGCACAGGGGCCAGCTGCCCAGTGTCTCTGGGTGTCTCTGGGGCCTGTGCTGGCCAACCTTGGTTAAATAATGTGGCTCCCACAGGTGTCCTTATGTGCTACATTGTACATTAGGTGTTCAGTAAGGAATGAGTTTGGACTAACGTCCCAAAGGCAGTGGGAAGCAATAAAGGAGATTTGAGTAAGGAACCAGAGCCAATCAGATCTGTGCTTTTAGAAAAACCATCGTGTTGTGGTATGGAGAAAGGAAATAAGTGAGAAAGGAACAGAAAGATTAGTTAGAAATTAGTTGAGACAGGGCTGGGGATGTAGCTCAGTGGCACAGCACCTACCTGGCAGTGTGAGGCCCTGAGTTCCATTCTCAGTACCAAAAAAGAAAATAGTACAAAAAAAAGACCAAAAAGAAGTTAGTTGAGACAATTGTGAAATAAATCTCGAATTTGTCAAGAAGGTGGAGACAGTGGTATTGTTGCAGAAGGCCTCTGCTGAAGAAGGGTCTCAGAATAGTACTTTGCTGTAACCTTATTGTTTCACAAGTCTGTCTCTGGAATTCTAAAGTTTAGAAATCTAATTTTTGTGGTTTTGTTTTAGCATATACTGTGATGTCTTGGGCAGGTTTGACGCACATGTTTTACACTTAGCTAAGACTTATTGCTTAGATTAGAATGGTAGAACTGGGCCAGGTGTGGTGGTGCACACCTGTAATCCCAGCACTCAGGAGGCTGAGGCAGGAAGACAGCCACAAGTTAAGGCCAGCTGGCCTACATGGAGAGACCCTGTTTCAAAACAAAAAACCCTATACCGGGTTTGTTTTTTGTTTGTTTGTTTTCCGGTACTGGGAATGGAACTCACAACTTTGAGCTTGCCAGGCAGGTGCTGTGCCGCTGAGCTAAATCCCCAGCCCCTGTACTGGGTTTTGAATTGGACTAGCGCTGTGGTGCATGCTGTAAAATCTGCTTGGCAAGCCCTGTCCTACGCGGGGGAGCAGGCGGTTGGAACAAGGGAAGACCCTCGAACTCCTTGGCTTGTGAAGAGTGCTATGGTGGCCTGGAGCTTCCCTCAACAAGAGTGCAGCTACCAAGCAGGCCAGAAAGTGCTTCTGACTGTTTTAGTTTGTATTTACCCTTGTTTAGATTTGAGCTGGAGATGATTTTGCTTTTAAAATGATTTCTGCAGCTAAGGATGGTGGCACACACTGTAATCCCAGCGCTCGGGAAGCTGAGGCAGAAGGATTGCAGTGACTTCGAGGCCAGTCTAGGCTACACAGTGAACCAGCCTAGATTATATGGTGAAACCCTGTTTTAAAACACCAAAAAAGAACGTTCACTATTAAGAATTTAGCATTCTTTTTTCCTGTCTTTTTCTGTTTTAAATATATAGTGTCCGTGGGCTACTCCTCAAAAGACAATGTCCTGCTCCTTGTCTGATGTAATGAGCGAACAGTTGGCTAAAGAACTGCAATTAGAAGAAGAAGCTGCTGCTTTTCCTGAAGTCGAGTAAGTAAAATTCTCAAAGGATTTATTTTATCTAGTAGTTTCCTATAACAAAGCTTTGGGATTCGATGTGACAAGTGATAAAGAAACAGACTTACTAAAAGCAGTGCAGTAGAAGGAGGACCATAGGTGGAGCCAGCTGTTACTTGAATTTTGGTCCTGATCCCATGAGAGGTTGAGCATCCCTAAAATTCAGGGCGCTCAGAGAGTTTTAGATTTTGATTTGAATATTCAGATTAGGAATCCTCAACCATGAAAGACTGTGCAGAGGTTGTGAAATCTGAAACCCTGATGGTCCTGAGCCTATCTTTATTATCTTGGGTAATCTACGGTTTGTCTGGGTTTTTGTTTTATTTTGTTCTTTTCTTTTTTTAATTAGTCCATGTTTACCTTACATAATGTTACATTCCCTGTGGGGAATTGATACATGTGCATAATGCTGTACATCTTCATTTGTTGTCATCCACACCCATCCGTTTTGTTTTGTTTTATTTTGTTTTTTGAGACAGGGCCTACCTCTGCAGTTCAGGCTGTCTTTGAGCTCACTATTTAGCTCCAGCTGGCCTTGAACTCACAGCAGTCCTCCCGCCTCAGCCTCCTGAGTGCTGGGATCACAGGTGTGCGCTACCACACCTGGTTTGTTTTGTTTTTAGAGACCGAGTCTTGCTCTGTAGTTCAGGCTATCCTTAACTCACTGTGTAGTCCAGGTGGCCTCCTGCCTCAATGAGCAACACCGTAGAGGTAAGGGTATGTCCTCTGCACACTAGGATGTAGAACTGCCCGAGTTACTTCGGTAAACTTCCAGACTCCTCAAGTTGACACAGGGTATCAACCATTGCCCTGATCTCCACAGTGGTTCAGTGGGTTTTGTAAGTTAATGTTAATGCAGCAATTGAACTAGATGCGGTACAGTTTTCAAGTGTTTGTAGTTTATCTCTTCATCAGGTTTTGGCTTTGGTTTTGTTTTGTTTTTGAGACAAGGTTTGGCTATGTAGCCCAGGTTGGCCTGAATTCACATCAGTCCTCATGCCCCAGCCTCCCAAGTGCTGGGATTACAGGCATGTGCCACCATACCCACCCAGCCCTTACCAATTTTTATCTATCCTTTGGTTAGAACCCAGAGCAAATGTGTTCTGGGTCTCCCAGTGGGTTCTGAGCTTTCTCTCCTTAGGTCTCTTAACCCTGGCTGGTGTTCTCATGGGTGTGGATGTTGGTCTCGAGGCTGGCGGGGTTAGCAGGGTTCTTGCCCGTGGCTGCACATGGGTTTCCCTGAACAAGATGCGTTCTGCTCTCATAATCTGCAGGCTCTGTCTGCACCCGTGCATCACGTTACTTCCTATCTATTATGTGCCTGTCTGTTATTTTGAATAGCGTTGCTGAAGGACCATTTATTTCGGGGGAAAATGTTGACACGTCCAGTGACCTGATGCTGGCTCAGATGCTGCAGATGGAGTTTGACAGAGAGTACGATGCCCAGCTGAGGCGTGAAGAAAAGAAATTCAACGGCGACAGCAAAGGTACCGTGGCCTTTCTGTGAGACTGCAGTGGTGGGAGGGAGCGCTTACACCGTGCTCCTAAACAAGTCTTCACCTCTTTTTGCCTTTTCAGTTTCCATTTCCTTTGAAAATTACCGAAAAGTGCATCCTTTTGAAGACAGCGACAGCTCTGAAGACGAGGTTGACTGGCAGGACACTCGCGACGACCCCTACCGGCCAGGTACGGCCTAGACTTTCGAGGGGGACACTGAGGGGCAGGAAGACTGATTTTTTCCCAACACACCTTTTAGTTTTATATTCATCTTTGAGCCACATTCGGTAGTTTACTGTTAGATCCAAATGTCCGTTCAGACAGTGTTGTCTGTAGCAATTTAGTTTTTCTATTTTCATATCCTTGGCTTGTTTTAATCACCTTTAGCAAAACCAGTTCCCACTCCCAAAAAGGGTTTTATCGGAAAAGGAAAAGACATCACCACCAAACACGACGAAGTGGTGTGCGGGAGGAAGAACACAGCAAGAATGGAGAACGTAAGTTACGGGTTCTGTCTCTCTCGAGAGCTTTGCATGTGAAGACACTGTGAAAACAGGGTGAGGAATAGTCTCTCAAATTTTTCTACAGCTGTCCTCCTTCCTAAAGATATTTCAGATCTGAAAACTCAGCCACCAAAGAAATATAAAGTGCCTCAGAATAAAACCCTCAGCAATATTTTGAAAACTAATTTGATTTATATTGCTTCTAATATTATTGAGTTCTTATACACATTTATTTTTCTGCATATTATTTTTTATAAAACAGCACCCTCTACCCAAGAAACAGGTAACAGTGGCTGCTGGAGCTAGGAATGGGAGTGAAAAATACTTCTGGGTTTTTTTTCAGCGCTGAGAATTGAATGTAGGGCCTCACACGCTGCTAACTAGGCAAGCGCTGTGCCTCTTAACTGTACCCCAGCTAGGAGTTTTTGTTTTGTGCCTGAACTGCCTACTGGGAAATCAGAAACAAAATGTAATTTTAAAGACCTAGCATTCTAGAGCTGGGTGTGGTGGTGCACGCCTGTAATCCCAGCACGCAGGGGGCTGAGGCAAGAGGAGCGCTGTGAATTCAGTGCGGGTCTGGGCTACATAGCGAGTTCGAGACCAGCCTGCACTGCACAGTGAGTGAGGCCTGTCTTGGAAACAAACAAAACCACTATTGTTTTCTTTGAATGAGTGAGTTTTTGATTTTTTCTTTTTCTCTGCACTAGCTATGGGTTCTGTTTTTGTAGCACGATCAGTATTGAATAGGAAATCTGTCCCTAGTAAAGACTAATCTTCTCACTGTCGTTTTTTTAGTATCTTTTTCTAAAAATATTGAGATGCTGATCCTTCTGTTTTTGGCAGTTTGCACCTGGGTTTCAGGTAGGAGATGGGATTGGAATGGACTTAAAACTGTCAAACCATGTCTTCAACGCTTTGAAACAACACGCCTACTCGGAGGAGCGCCGGAGCGCCCGCCTGCACGAGAAGAAGGAGCACTCCACAGCGGTAAGAGTCTGCGTTGGCGTGAGACAAAACAAAACTCCACGTTTGGTACTTTCTCGTGAGATTGGTTTTCAGATCAGAGACATAAAGCTCGAATGGCTTTGCTCTTCGGCTTTTCAGATTTAACGTAATGTTTATTCATCACTTACGTTCACATTTTAGTGGCCGTAAATAATTTGGACTGTATAATTTACATTACACCTGAATGTTCCAGTATTTTTAAATAACATTATTTAAAATAATAATATTTCCTAGGCCAGGCATGGTGGTGCATGCCCATAACCCTAGCACTTAGGAGGCTGAGGCAAGAAGGTTGCTGTGAATCTCAGATCAGCCTGGGCTACACAGTGAGTTCAAGGCCTGCTTGAAATACACATTGAGACCCTGTCTCAAAATAAAAAAATTCTGTTATGGACATATTTATAACTTAATACTCTTAAGCTAGTTTAACATTAATGAAGATATTTACTCTCGTAAGAATAAGCTGATTTATTAAGACTTAGAAAAACTACAAGGATGCTAGGGGTGCTATTTAAACTCCAGTGATAAAATAAGATTTCAGTTAGGCTAGTGTGTGAGCATTTTCTTTTTGATCTCGGGCCCAGGTTTTTGCGTTAAAGGCAGAGTACAAAAGCCACAGCCGTAGCTCTGGAAAAAGCCTGGGAAGCTTCAGGGAGTCACATGAAGTCCACAGCTTGTCCCACTGGGAGAGAGGGGGTCGCCTCATGGTCTCCAAAGCTGCCTGTGTTGCAGGTGCCACCCTCGTGCACAGGAAGGGGCTGGGGCCCCTGGAGGGAGATGTCTGGAAGGGGGCGCCTTGTGGGTCCTCTGGAGAGACCTTCCCAGTGCCCACCCCTTGCCCCCTGCGTCCCCTGGCTGGGCTGGGAGGAGCGGAACGTGCTTGTTGCTGTAACTGGGAGGCAGCAGGCGGTGCCACCTCCTTGCCCAGGCTTCAGTTTGCTCCTTCTGGGGCACGTTGGTCTCCGTGGGGACAGTCGGGGAGGGCACCAGAGGAGGCGAAGGTACCAGAGGGCAAGGAGGCCAGAGCCTGCTGCCCAACATCGCCAGGGCCACAGAGCCATCTGGAGCCTGTCTCTGTCCCTGGTGCCCCTGAGTGCCCTGCCTGGGAGGAGGGTGCAGGCCCCAGGGCCAGGCTTCCTTGGAGAAGCCAGTGGCCCTCTGCTCCTTCCCAGCCCTGCCCTGTCTTTCCCAGCGAGTGGGGAGTCGGAGTGAGGCGGCCACATGTGCCATGAAGAGAAGGTGAGGGCCGTGTTGGGGCGAGGGTCCCCCTGTCGCCGGGGCCTGCGGGTGCCTGGGGCTGGAGCGCCTGGGATTTCTCTCCCCCTCGGTCTTCAGCACCGGGTCTTCACACTGGGGCCCTGGTGCGCGGAAGGAGAGCCAGTCCGGCCTCTCCCCAGAGTCTGCGGGGTGCAGCCATCGAGCTGTGCTCCTCAGGTGACACTGCCAGTGCAGTGGTGGGACAGGGACAGGCTGGGACAGACTGACCCTGAGGCGCTTTGCCCCATGTCTTCCCTGTGTCCTCCTTCAGAAATGGCCCCTGTGGGGAGTCACCTTCAGGAGCTCCCTCTGCCTAGGACATTGGTCACTGTGGCTGCACAGTCAGCCCCGACGTCCCTTTAGGGCTGCCCTTCAGGAAGCCCTGTGCGTGAGGATGACCGTCACAGGAGTACTGACTGGGACCCTGGCCTGGGGCACAGATCCTCGCAGCCCTGACTGAGCTGAGGGCCCAAACCCCACACCGCACCCCAGAATCCCTCTGCAGGTCTGACTTGGCGATGTGTCCTTGTAGATCAGCGGTGGTGAACCCTTTGCTTTAGAGACCAAATGCCCAGACTGTAACACAAAGCCCACTGATTTATTACAGAGTGCCAACGCTGCAATGAAACCTGAATACTAAGGTTTTAGTTTAGAAAAAACAACTCACACACTTGGCTCACGTGCCAACAGAGGGGGCTCTCTGCGCCCACTGGGGCTTGCGTGCCATAGGTTTGCCACCACTGCCATAGATACTCACTTTCAAAGATGTTGGAGTTGTTTCGTTTCATTTTATTGATTATATTTTTGAGGCAGGGTCTCGCTGTGTAGTTCAGGCAGGCCCTGAACACTGTGTAGCTCAGGCTGGCCTCAAACTCACAGTGATCCTCCTAACTCAGCCTCCTGGGGGCTGGGATTACAGGCGTGCACCACCATGCCCAGCTCTTTTTAGTTTGTATTAGTACCTGTTTAGAGGTTTTTTTATTTTTATTTTTTTGGGATCTTGACAGCACTCTTTTAAGAGCCTGATATACAGATAGATAAGTATGCATATTAAATAATAAAGGTTAAAAAGGTAAAGGTGCATTCTGAGTGTTAGATATTAGAAGTGGCTCACGAACTGTTTCATGATTGAGAGTCATTCTCACAGTGCCTTATCTTTCGCAGGAAAAAGCAGTTGACCCTAAGACACGCTTGCTCATGTATAAAATGGTCAACTCGGGGATGCTGGAGACGATCACTGGCTGCATTAGCACAGGGAAGGAGTCGGTTGTCTTTCATGCGTATGGAGGGAGGTAAATGAGCCGGCGGTAATACCACTGCCGTGTGTACGGGAGCGCAGTCCTTTGGTGGATTTATACAAAATCAAAGTGAATGCTGTATTGCAAGTAGAGTAATTTAAAAAGGGTAATAAAAAGTCTATAGGAAAAAAAATTTATGGACAGGAAGCTATTCCTTTTCCTGAACTATTTAACTTGTTTCCCTTACTAGATAAGACATATATTGAATTATACTTCTAAAAATAAAGTAGTAATGAATGTTGGGAGTCGGGTGTGGTGACACCTGTCATCCAGCACTCTGAGAGGCTGAGGCAGGAGGATCGCTGTGCATTTGAGGGCAGCCTGGGCTCCGTAATGAGTTCAAGGATGGCGATGGGACTCCTTGGTGTGAGAGTGCAGGGGAGGAGCCCGGGGCTGCGCGTGTGGAAGGCAGAGTCGCAGCCGTGCTGTTGGGGTGGACGTGGGTTGCTCATGGCTCAAGTGGCCCTTCCGCTGGGGTGAGAGCCTGGGGGAGGGTGCAGGGGATCCTTGCTAGACCAAATGGGCCTGAGGCTGCAGGGAAAACGAGGCCTGGGAGAGAAGTGTGGGTGCTGCCCCTAGGTGACAGTGAAGCCGAGGACGCAGGTGGGGGCCCAGGAGGAGGAGGGTTCCCCTGGTGACTGAGCCAGGTGGAGTGGGCTAGGGCATGGCCAGGAGGGGCTGTGGTCTGCTTCCCTCCATCCTGTCCCACGGTCACCCCTGTAGTAGGAGAGGGGTCACTGCATGCGTGTCACCTGCTGCCTCCTGTCCCCACTCTGACCCTCGTCCCTTTGTTGACTCCGGTGCCAGCACCAGGAGTGGTTTTCACAGCGTGCTTCCACACCCCACTCCCTTTGGAGCCCCCTGCTATCCTGGGGCCGTCCAGGCTCTCCCAGCCCCCCTCCACCCACCCCGTTACCTCCTGCTCCTCTGGGGCTCCCCCCAGTGCCCCAGGGCTCATCCTGTCTTCCTCCCGGCTTCTGGGAAAGTCCGAACCCCACCCACTGCCCTGGTTCCCTGAGGCTCCTCTTGTGCCTGAAGCATCCCCTGTCGGTCCCTGTCCCTTCCAAAGGGCCTAGGGTCTTTATCCTGTCCAGGCCCCTTTGCACTATCCTGCGCAGGGACCCCCTCTTCGTGTTTATATCTGCTCTGAGTGAGACAGTTATTTTTAAAGAGCTGTTCTGTGTGTTGCTTCTATTGAGATTTACCTTTGAATTCTCCTACATAGACTGTAATCTTTTTAACATTCAGATCTTTTCATTGTTTGCCAAGCTTGATTCCATAGTCACTAAGTGAACACTGTTTAAATTTAGGAGGCTGAGGCAGGAGGATCATGAGTTCAAGCTCAGCCTGGGCAACTCTCAAAATTAAAAAAAAAAAAAGAAAGAAAAAAAGAAAGGTGGGAGATACAGCTCAGTGCAAAGGACCCAAATTCAATCCGCAATCCACAAAAAAAAATGCAACAAAGCTGGGGGCGTGGTGAGTGAGTAGTCCTGTGAGTTTCAGAGTTCTGGGCAACATAGAGAGCCTCTACTCGCAACGAAACAGCTCCCAACCTAAGGTTTTATTAAGAGGGGAAACTGGAAGGCTTACAAAAGCCGAGACCCCTTGCTCTGCAAGCAGGTAGATGCACCTGCCCGTTACTGGATCTTTATTTGAAATCCTTTTACTTGTGAGCTGATAACTTACACTGATTTAATTTTTCTTCTTGCACGTAGCATGGAGGATGGAAGGGAAGACGTTAAAGCTATTCCTACAGAATGTGCCATCAAGGTATTTAAAACAACCCTTAATGAGTTTAAGAATCGTGACAAATACATTAAAGATGATTTCAGGTTTAAAGATCGCTTCAGTAAACTAAATCCTCGTAAGATCATCCGCATGTGGGCAGAAAAAGAAATGCACAATCTCACAAGGTAAAGAAAACCGTGTGCTAGAGGTAATCTTGGCCTTTTTGTACTATGACTATTAGCTGGGCAAAAAAATCCATGCTTTCTTCCCGTTCATCTACAGAAATAATGAAGGGCCTTGAAATTCTAGTGCTTAATGAGGCCTTCATAAGGAAATATTTCTGTGTATTTAAGCTGACTTCATCCTTTCAGAATGAAAAGGCCATTTTCTTTTTTCTTTCCTCTGTGATTTGAGGGGAGACTTAGGCATTTTCTGCCTAGGTATTTCATCATTCTAAATGTCCTTTTAAATTGTCTAAGAACTAAAATGTCCAGCTTCCAGTTAAGCTTAGCACAAATAATGATTTCCCTTTTTGCCTCCTACAGTGTTGTTTATTACATCTAATTTGTTAATTTGATGGGATGTGGTCTTAACCAATCAAATTGGAGTTTGCTGTATGAGACTTCTCAGTTCTCTACGAAGTTTCTTTCCTAGGAAGGATTTCTTTTATCAACCAAGAAATTGAGTTATAAACTTCATTATTAGTTAATCTTCTCATTAGCTATGGAAAACTTACTTGTAGTTTGTTGCTTTCTAAAGGTGTTTGCTTTCAGAAGTAATTATGTGTATTAGTTGCAAAATTCTCCTTAGAACTTGCTCGATTGAGTCTCGGCAGTCTTGCTGCCTCGCATTTCCTGACTGCGGGCCCCTCATCAGCATTCCACAGTGTTTAGTGTGAATGCAGAGACGCGTGCCCAGAGGTCGCCCCTCTGGGGCCTCAGTCCCTGTCCCTCTCTTCTAGCGCCAGTGTGTTGACACCTGTGTCCCCCACGTGGCCTGTGCCCTGAATGCCCCCTGCCTTTCCTCACTGTCGTAGAAGAGCCTCCTCCTGGAGGGCCTTCCGTGGCGCCAGCCCACACCCCTGCACACGCATGTGTCCCCTTCTTCCCCTCATCCCTCACATGACTGCCCTCCCACTGGTCCACGGCTTCTCCGTGGGCAGACGCGCGTCTCGCTGTGCATGTGGAGCCACGCTGCCAGGGTAGAATGCTGTGCCAGGTTAGGTATTTGTTGAAGAAATGACATATTTTCCCCTTCTGATCTTTATGTGCTTGATTATTTATTTCTGTGTAGAATGCAGAAAGCTGGAATTCCTTGCCCGACAGTTGTACTGCTCAAGAAACACATTTTAGTTATGTCTTTCATTGGCCACGATCAAGTTCCAGCACCAAAATTAAAAGAAGTAAAGCTCAGTAGTGAAGAAATGAAAGAAGCCTACTATCAAACTCTTCAGGTAAGTTGTGCCTTAAAAAGCATTCACATGCCGACTTTGAATATATTTCCTCTAGCCATGGGTGGTGGCAGCCTCCTGCAGTGCCAGCTACGCAGCAAGATCACCTGACCCTGGGATTTGAGACCAGCCAGGGCAACACTGGGAGGCCCCCCCTCTCCCTGCCCAGTATCCTCTAAACTGTAAAAAGTTTCCCTCAAGTAGTATGTTTCAAGGTGTTAAGGACAAACTAAAGTTTGTGAAGGAGTGTAACAAGAGTCCTCCTTACATCAGTATATGGCCTGGAGTGGTTTCACAAAATGCAAGATTCCGTGGAGCAAGAGAAAACTTTACTGTTCACCTTAGTTTAGTGACTTAGAACCTGCAACTGTTTTTCACAAAACTTCCTGAAATTGAACTGCGTTACTGCCTGTGGCCTGTGTAGTGCTTTCTCAGTGTGCGAGCCTCCAGGGATGCACGGTACAGGGAGGTCGAGGAAGCAGCCAGGTTGTAAGACAGGCGGAGAGGCATGGGGTGCGGCTGTTCTGACCTGAACCCTGAACCCACGCTAGTGCCCGAGGAAGCTGCCCGTGCCGCGGGACAGCAACTGCATTTCCTCTGAGGCCCCTGAGCTTCAGCCAAGGCTCTGAGTGCTGTCCGTAGCCCTCTGTGCTGCTTCAGCTGGCCCCAAGGAGCCGTGTTTCCCGTGTGCATGGGCCACTGTCCCGCGGCGGCTAGGGTGGGCAGGAGCATTTGCCCAGGTGAAGGTGCAGGGTGAGTTGGGGAGGAGGCCTCGTTCCCTGCCGGAGGACAATCGAGTCCATGTTGCAGGCTCCTTTGGGAGGTCAGGTAGCTGGGGACGAGACAAAGTGAACCTGTGCTGTTAAAATTCTCCAAAGGGCAGCAAAGAAGGCATTAATGTTGGTTTCCACTTGATTGTCCTCTGGTTTCTGGAGGGAAACAGTTTCGCCTGAGAATTTATATACATATATGTGTATATAATCCCATAGAGGTCAGCGTGGGGGTTTGCCCTTTCTAGAGGGCAGTGGCTACCTCAGCGCCCTGGTCGTCACTACAGGCTTGCTGCCGTCTTACCACGCAGGTGTGCAGCTCTGACCCGCAGCCTCTCCACGGTGCTGTAGGAAGGCAAGGGAGTCTTGTCATCGAGTCCCCACCCTCCCTAAACAGCAAAGAACAGTCCAGTCATAGATTATGCAGAAGGAAGCGAGTGGGGCTGAAGGTGCAGCTCAGTGTGGAGCACTTGCCTCACATGCACCAGGCCCCGGTTCAATTCCCGGCATCACCAAACAAAGAAAGAAAGAGGAAGGAAGCTCTTGGGCTCATTTTGTTTTTCTAGAAGAGACAGATTTTTACCCACACGTAATCTATGGCAAGTTAGAATTGTTCTTCACTTCTAAGTGTGCGCCTTGCCCCTCACAGCTGATGCAGCAGTTGTATCACGAGTGCACACTGGTGCACGCCGACCTCAGCGAGTACAACATGCTGTGGCACGCCGGAAAGGTGAGGTGCGCCTGTGAGTGCTGGGGTTGCGCTGCCCGCCGGGCTCCCGCACACGGATACAGCGGCGTGCTCTGTGTCTCACAGGTCTGGCTGATCGACGTCAGTCAGTCGGTGGAGCCGACCCACCCTCACGGCTTGGAGTTCCTGTTCCGGGACTGCAGGAACGTCTCCCAGGTGAGCCGTCGTCCAGCGGGCTGTGTTTGTGGGGTGGAACAGGTTCCTATGTTTTCACCTTTCAGAGATAAAGTGACCTTGAGGACCATGTTCTTAGAGATTGAGTGAAAGATATAAAGATCAGTTTATCAGATTTCATTTTCAGCAAGAATTTGGTCCCATGCCTCACATTTCAGCATAATTCCTGAGGAGTGAAATACGGGCTCCTGTGTTTAAACAGTTGAGTAGGCATTTACTGTGCGCGCGGTGCTTGCACATAATCTGGTAAAGGGTAAGCTTGCGTGCTTACTGCCCTTATTATTGCCCTTACGAAGAGGATCATGGCTGAGCGTGGTGGTGCGCATGTGTAAGAGGATCGCTGTGAGTTGTAGGCCAGCCGGGGCTACTTTGGGAGGTCAGTGGCTTTTAAGGCCAGCCTGAACTACACAGCAAGACCCTGTCTCAAAAAAAAAAAGATTCAGGGCGGTAAAACTCAGTAAGCAGAGTTGGACCCCATCTATTTGCCATTTTGAAGGGAACTGAGTTAGCAACAGAGTCAGATAGGAAAGATCTTTCTAAAAGATGGACTGGCTTCGAACGGAAATAACTTCCGAGTCTGCTTGAAGGTTTCACCTCCAGGGTTTAGGGATGTGTTGCATCTATGAAGCCAAAGTGCCAGGCGGGTCTCACTCACGCTGCAGAAGGCAGATGGCCACACACTAGATGCAGAAGGCGGAGCAGAGGTGTGGGAGAGGGCAGGGCAGGCAGAAGCTGAGCACAGCGAGGCCCCAAGCTGAAACCGCGTCTCGCAGATGCTCCCTTGGTTTGTACAAGAACCCTGTTAACGGCTCTCGCTGGCCCTCTTGTGTTTTGCTCAGTTTTTCCAGAAGGGAGGCGTGAAGGAAGCCCTCGGTGAGCGGGAGCTTTTCAATGCTGTTTCGGGCTTGAACATCTCGGCAGATAATGAAGCGGATTTCTTAGCCGAGGTGAGTGGCAGGCAGCAGTTGCTCACCTTGCTGGTGATCAGAGCTGCATGGAAGGCAAAAATTTTGCTCTCTTCCCCTAAACAAAATGAATTCTAGAATTTTCTTTAGATGGGTTTGGTCATTTTCAGGCTTAAAACTTAGAATGAACCCTTAGGAAAGCACTTCTTAAGCTTATGGACAAATAGTACATTTCCATTAGTCTCATTTCTGTTTCCTGAATGAGAAAGGTGACCGGCGAACACCCTGGTGATACAAAAATTAGTAATGTGCAGACCCCGCTCTTAACAGTGTTAGTAGTGGCCCTCTTTAAAAATACTGGGTCATAGTGAAGCTGCAGAGCCATTAAACAAAAACAGCTCCCTCCAGGGAAGACTGAACATTGAGCAAAGTTGTGGAACAACAGCTAATTATTCCCAGTGTCATAGCAAAGCAGAGTGAATCCAGAGTCTGTTCTGGAGCTTCCCAGCAGGACTTGCGCTCAGCTCTGCTGGACCCTAAGGCCAGAGGAGATGTAACCAAAACATGGTGAGTTCAGCCCCGGCTCAGTAGCTCAGAAGGTACTGGTAACTGTTTTCAGTGTTTTGGCGGATGTTGGAATTTCCTTTTTCATGTTTCCAGAAAGCTTTATAGAGTACAGGCGTTGCTCACTTAACGACTTAGCTGTTTGGCAACCATCAGACTTACGACCCACAGCTGGGACTTACAACGTGCCTTTCTTGCACAGTTCTGTGCATCTTGTTGATAGAACCTCAGTGTCTTTTTTTGCACAGTCCACCTTGTTTATACAATACTGTAATTTGTGCTGATTGTACTGTACAGTACAGTGCTCCAGTTTTATGTTACACATTACAGTACTGCATGTAAAACTTGCTTAAAAGCAGTCATGAAGTCAGAGTTTCCTTTGACCATTTCTTTGTTCTGAATATTGTAGTGTACATACTACGTGCAATTCCTTACTTATCGATAAAGTCGTTTAACGACCTAGTCTCAGGAATGGAACTCACTTGTTAACACGAGGAGTGTGTCTGTACACGTAAGACCTAACAGGTGCCAGTTGCTAGCTTCATCGAGGTATTAAATATTAACTGTGAACGTACACGCATGTCTATAATTCTGTTTTCTTGTCTTTTTTGGGGGGGACAGTCTCGCTATGTAGTTCAGGTTGACCTTGAACTTGTGATGGGGCAATCTTTCTGCCTCAGCCTCCTGAGGGCTGGGATTATAGCATTCGTCACCATGTCCAGCTTATGCACACTGATTCTAATTCAAGGCCAACATGTGTGTTACTTGTTTTTCTTTTAAGTCAAAAGATGATAAGTATGAGGAGTTTCCTCTAACCTAAAACAGCAGCTAGGCATGGTGGTGCACACCTGTTGTCCTAGCACACGGAAGGCTGAGGCAAGAAGATTGCTGTGAGTTCCACGCTGGCCTGGTCTACTTAGTGAGTTCAAGGCCAGCTTGAACTACACAGTGAGACCCTGTCTCAAAACAAAACAAAACAAAACAAAACAAAACCTAGAACAGTGTTCAGGTGTAATTGCAGTGTCGGCACTTTGTGATATGTAAGTGGGTTTTAGGTTGCAGTTTGGGCCCTCGGTCTCTGGAAGGTTCGCCATTGCTGCCCTAGGTAATTATTAAGAGAGTAGAAATATTGCCTAAGTCTACAATGTTTCTTTAAAGTAGGAACTTGATAAGTGGACCCCTTGTGTCGATTCTGTAGATAGAAGCTTTGGAGAAAATGAACGAAGATCACGTGCAGAAGAACGGGAGGAAAGCGGCTGCGTTTCTGAAGGATGACGGCGGCCCGCCCCCGCAGTGCGCCGAGTAGCGCCCGCCCCGCCCTGGCGGCGCAGCGGCCTTGGCAGCTGCCGCAGCCAACAAAGCCGCGGGCGCCCCGGGGTCCCCAGGGCAGAGGAGCGGACCATGGTGCTCCCGAGCGCTTCTCCATCGTAACCCATGTGCCAGATGTGCGGAACTTTTAGCTTGGCATTAAGAGAATAAAATGTCACTACCTCTCATCTTACGAACAGGATAATAGAGTTCTTTAACAGCTGTAGGGCATCAGGCGGAGGGAGACTGAGTTGTACATGCCTGTGCGTTGCGACGCAGATGGTAAAACCGGATCTAAACATGCCAGGAAAGGTCGGGTGTGTTTACAAGGGAGGCTTGGCCACAGCGCCTTCACTTTCTTCACCTCCTTGTTTTGTGTTGCACCTTTCCTCAAATACTTTATCAGCCACAAATTAGCCCTCCGCGATTATCTTTCGAGACTGACCGTGATTCTCAAGGAACACGTCTCCTTGGGTGGTGAAATTTGGCTTCAGGTTGTGGGTGGAGGTGGACGTGCAAAATGGTGCATCATGAAAATGAACGAAATTTTTAATTCTTTTCATGCTCGTGTCTAAGTAAAACCATCATGGCTTTTGGAAGAAGTGTGTGAGAACTTACCTAGCCAAATTTTAAAATTTCTCTTTCAGCTTTTCTATTTCCAGGCTAAAAGGTTAGGCTGCACCCCGAGATGTTATGCTCTGCATTATAATTAAAGTGTAAATTATGTGGGAAGACACAATACAAGACCTCATTATACTTTAATGCAGTGAAACGTTTCAGTTTACAGTTCACTAAAGCTATATACTTATTGATTGATTTTGAGAGAGGTAGAACAAATTAATTAGAGATATGAAAAAGTATGTATCAAACAACTTGGGCGCCACATTGACCAACGCATGTGAACTGTCTGGCCTCATTTCGAATATTCTTAGCCCTCGTTGGACAGTTCTTTTTGCAAAGCAAGCGCTGTGTTGGAGAAGCACATTGCTTCTTCTAGGATGGACATTCACAACTGCCATGTAATCACTGTCCAGTTCCCGAGGCCAGCTTGCAGCCCCTGAAGACCCAGACATTCTGGTAGTAGAAAGTAAAAATCTAGACATGACTTACATTTGAAAGCTTCTCTGTTAACATTATTTTAAAATGCCAAATACGTTCTTCCTAGAAAAATATTTATTTGTTGTTTCTATTATCGCTTTTAATCCCTTTCAGAAGAGTGTGATTTTGGATAGAACCATTACTTTTTGGAAATGTTTATTATTCTGAAACAGATTTACATGACTGGTAATTATTGACAGAAATTTCAGAGAACTAATTTTTAACACTTTTTTGTTTTGTTTTCTCACACACTGACACAAAGCAGCAAAGCAGTGCTTGGAGTGTGCTGTGAACATGACTTTTAAGAAATTAAAAATGCAGAGATCATTTTAGAACTGGCTGTGTGGTTTCTTTCCTTTCCTTACATTAGCTCCTGTTCTGCCACCAGGTCACCCTCTTTACATAAAATTAAGCAGTACTATTTTTAGAAGATTCCCCCCCTCAACTTCTACTTGAATTTCATCTCAAATGGTCTGTTTTACATTATAAATATGTTTTTCTTATAGGTCAAGTAATACATTTTTAACATAGTGGAAAAGAAAATGAAAAATATTGATTTGCTAAGTCTAATATAGTAAGATATATATATATATCTTCTAAAAATATTTTGCCTCATATTAATGAAAATCATCATGAATAGCTATAAAATAAGATCAACAAAAGGATGACTAATAATTCATTGCCAGTTTCGTTTCTTTAAAAAAAATCACATTCTTAGAAATTTAGAAATGTTAAAGTCCTTTGTATCCCATAAAAAAACACTGTTAAAAAACCCTGCCAGTTTTGCTCCCCACCAGCATGATTTTGTTTGTTTGTTTTTTTCTAGTGTTTGTGCTGCCAAAGCAAGCATGGTGGGCTTTATAAGACAGTCTCACTGTGTAGCCCAGGCTGGCCTTGAACTCATGGCAGTCTTTCTGCCTCAGCCTCCGGAGTACTGGGATGACAGACGTGCACCACCATGCCTGGAGTCACTTTCTTTAAAAAAAAAAAAAAAAAAATCTTCAGACAGGCATAGTGACATAGGCCTGTAATCCCAGCACTCTGGGAAACAGGCAGAAAGATCACACGGTTGAGTACAGCCTTAGCAATTTAGCAACTTTGTGAGACCCTGTGTCAAAACAAAAGTACTGGAGATGTAGCTCAGGGCAGAGGTCCTGGGTTTAGTCGCCAGCACCACACACACAATAATAGTAATAATAACCTTTGAACAAGTTGAGTGTGGTAGCACACGCCTATCATCCCAGCACCTGGGAAGTGAAAGCAGGAAGATCACAGGTCACAAGTCCGATCCTTCTCAAACAAATAAGAAAAGGTTACATTTTCACTCTCCCTGGCTTTTCAACTTTCTCCTAAACATACCCAGCTTTTTGCAGAGTTAAGATCAAGAAGAGTAGATATTGAAATAGCAGATGGAGGAAGAAGGTAGGATTCATTACAGAATGAGCAAGTGAGCTGCTGTTTATATCTCTGTGAACTTCCATTGTTAATCTCATGCTTTCTAGGATAGAACGAACACAGTAGTCGAACAGAATACTTGAGACAAAACTGTAAGAACAATATTTGAGTAAAGTCCCAAATAAGGCAAGAGCTAAGAAAAGTGGAAAACATCCAAAAGGGTTTGAAAAGTTAAATTTAAAAATTTCCATTGCTTGAAGTACTGCTGTAATGTTACGAAGTAACCAAATAGGGCTGCTCATCTGTTTGATCATTTTGGAGTTGTATGGAACTCAGAAGAAGCTGCAGCATCGGTCCAAGGAATTGGAGCTTGCAATGTACATGCCGAAGGCTCAGCCCCTCGTGTGCCTGTGAACAGGCAGATAAACGTGCACCCAAACAGAAAATACTTGTGGAGGGGCTGGGGATTTAGCTCAGCGGCAAAAGCGCCTGCCTGGCAAGCGCAAGGTCGTGAGTTCGGTTCCCGGTACCGGAGAAAAACAAAAAAAAAAAAAAAAGAAAATACTTGTGGAAAAAAACAAGCCACACGATGTGTTATTATCTAGTGACGTATTACCCAAATTTGCTAGGAAGCTTAAGAATACATGGTTTTCCAAACAGCTCCTTTTGGGTAACTTTTACAATAAAAACTATTCATGCTCATTTGAAAACCAAAGGGAATTTAGGAAGCTCAACGAACAGAGTAAAAGTCACCCAGACATCCACCAAGCAGCCAGGGCCCTTCTACAAATCTTAATACGTGGCCCTCTGGACAGACATTTGTTGTCTGATAAAAAATAAAAACAAAGCTCAGAAAAACAGGAAGGGCTATGTGTTGCTTTTAGGTTTTAGAAACTGGCAGAAGAGGGCTGGGTATTTAGCTCAGCGGGAAAGCGCCTGCCTGGGAAGCGCAAGGTCGTGAGTTCGGTTCCTGGTACCGGAAAAACAACAACAACAACAACAAAAAAAGAAACTGGCAGAAGCAGCTTTACAGCTGCTGGAAGGAAGACAAGCACGGACAGTTGCTTATCTCGCTCGGCAGGAGCAGCGGCCTGGAAACAGGCCAGCGTGAAACAGGAAGGGCAGGGCAAGTCTGTGGGCACCGTGTGCGCTCGGCCCAGACAAAAACGCGCAGGGGCCCTGAGGACCCGGAGCTGGAGCTGCTCCCCCTCTGTAGCAGCAGCACCTCCGCCTGCTGAGAGCGGGTTTCCTAGGACTGCTCTTCCGGCCGGCAGGCTCTGAGCCCCAGTGCCCCCAGCCTCTCAACCTCTCAAGCTTCCCGCTCTCGTCTCAGGCTCTCGATCACTGCTTCCAAAGCAGCACCTTTACCATGGCAAAGCGGCCACAAAGCTCTCTGCCCGGGATCCTGGCTTCTCAGATTTGGAAAACTCGCAGTACCTACTTTAGGGAAAGCTAACAGAACTCCTTTCGCAATGAATGAAAACTAATGTCTTCATTAACTTGCACATTGTTGTTCTGGGTCCTAAAGGTCTCCAGGTTCCAAGTGAACCAAACAATGTGTATTAGTCAAGGTTCTTCAGGGAAGAGGCCGTAGAGGATCTATCTATCTGTCCGTCTTAGTCATGGGCCACGTAACATTTTGGTCAAAATGAACCGCATAAACACAAATGATACCATAAGATTAACTGCCTAGTAACATTGTAGCTGCTTTAATTTGTGTAAGCACACTATGATATTTGTACAGTGATAAAATTGCCTACCGATTCATCAAAACATATCTCTATTAAGTTTAGACAGATAGACAGACCGACAGACAGACATTGACTCATGTGATTACGGAGGCTGGCTCGTTCCAAGATCTGCAGGGTCAGTCAGCAGGCTGGAGCCACGGGGATGTGGGTGGTTCAGTTTCTGTCCAAGCGGAAAGGACTGAAGTCAACCAGGGCCATGATGTATTTCCAGCTCAAAAGCTGTCATGCTGGAGACCCAGGAAGAGCTGACATTTCAATTTGAGTCTAAAGGCAGGGAAATGTCTGGGCATGGTGGTATACGCCTGTAATCCCAGCACTCAGGAGGCTGAGGCAGGAGGATCACTGTGAGTTTGAGCCCGGCCTGGGCTACATAGTAAGTAAAAAAGTCAGTATGAACTACACAGGAAGACCCTGTCTCAGATAAATTAAATTAAGTTAAATTAAAATATATAAATAAGGGCAGAGAAAAAAAACTGATGTCTGAGTCCCAAGGCCCCAGGGGATGATCAACCCTTTTGTTCTTTGAAGGCCTTCTCATTGGGAAGGGCCATCTGCTTTCCTTGGTCCCCTGATTTAAATGTTGATCTCATGGGTCAGTGATAGAGGAGACCACCTCCTGGGGCAAGACTGGACAAGCACGGGTGAGCTGTGCAGCTAAGCTGCCTGGGGAAACTGATGGAGCTGAGCTCCCCGGGGAGTTGAATGGGTTGGACCCCGGCCATGAACATGAGCGGGTTCAGCTGTGAGGTATCGGTAGTGCTAGCAGACTTGGAGAGGCCTGAGGTCCTTGTTCATGTCATCACTGTTCATTTCCTTGTAATCACTGCTTTTGCATTTGTACCTTTGCTTCATGCTGATTTCTAATGAGAAATGGCCCTGTAGGATGGAAACAATATAAAAGTGGGCATGGGGCGTTGTTCTCCGCTCTTGGGTGGACACTAGTCCCCCAAGGACACTGGCAATAAACTGCTCTTTGGCCCATTACTCCATGTCTTGTCGGTTCTGTTTGGGATCCTGTGCAGTCTCCTGCTTCATCAGTGCCCTTGGAGAAACACCCACATACCTGGGCACCCCCTGGTCCAGCCACTGGACACGTAAAACTGACCATCACCCTTCCAGAGGTGCTCAGGGGTGGTGAGACACGGGAAGGTGGCGTAGGTGCTCCCATCTGCCCGCTACCTAGAGTGACTGTCCCTAGAAACTTCCCAGCATGGAAGGACAAACACAGAGCATCACAGAGCATCACCCTTTGTGTATCACACAAAGCACGCAAGTAAATGCCAGGAAAAGCTCAGATATAGCTGGGGTAGAAAATAAATTGCGAGGTGAGGCAGGAAAGAGGCTGAGAGGCAGATCCAGGCGTTAGATTCCTCCTCTTGGTTTTCTTATCAGGGAAAAACAGCTGCTCACCGAGGTGGTCAAGCAGGTGGGCAGAGGAGAGCACAGCTAAACAGAGAAACAGCAAACAGCCGTTTCCTCCTGGCTCGTGGCACTGAGCACCATGGAGGAGGAGATTTTCTTCCCTTGCTGTCCTTCTGTACCCGTTTTAACCCACACACTTGCATTTCTCTTGTGATTACAAGGCAGCATGATTTTGCTTGATTTTATATTACTTGGAGCCCTTGAGGTTCTGACCATTAGATGGCGTGAGGAGCCACTGAGCTGGACAATCTGGAGCCAGGTAGGCGCTGGATTATTTTCTACCCCAGCACGGTCACAGGCAGGGGTGCGATGTCTACTGATCCTTCAGTGAATTTTAACATAAGAACAGGCCTCTGGGAAATGCTGTCTTAAGTGATCTTCCAAAACAACTTCCGGTAGCCACAACACCAATATTTTGAGATTACTTAATAAACGTTTTGGTTGTTTGAGACAGGGGCTTGCTATATAGTTCAGGCTGGCCTGGTGATCCTCCTGCTTCAGCCTCCTAGCGCTGGGATTACAGGCATGTACCATGTGCCTGTCTGAGATTACTTAATTAACTTTTAAATTGCAGCTTTTTATTCCTTCTCAAGAGTAAAGTTTAAACATTAAATATTCGGATTATTCTGATTTGCAACATAATCATTTGTCTCTGAAAATCAAATCAAGAGCAGAGTTTTGAAAGCAAGCTGGGAATGGAAAGAAACCAGAACACAGGTAAAGCTTCTTCAGCAAAACGTGCAAAGAGACACTGAGGTAGCTCA